AACAATAAAATCAAAACCAGCGTTTCAGTTGTTCATTAGTTCCAGTGGCCTTAATGCATGCACGGCTTTTCAAAATTTCACAAAGCGTGTTGAGATTATTTTGAATGAAATATTGAAGTTTATAATTAAGTGTTTTGGCACACCACGCCGAGTGACCCTATGCATTTTTCTAAAGTCGGGTTTTATTCTGGCATCGTGAGTTAGTGTTCGACAAACGCGGCGGCGCGTTCATTTAGATTAATTTATTTATCTCATTATTACAGCTAAAATAACTTAATAGGCGACTCCGTAATTTTTTGGTCATACAGATAAGAGTAGAGTAGCTTACATCGTTCAAAACTGTAAACTTGTATTCATATTAGGCTAACGACAAAAACAGTATATCTGTCCTCTCTGTCTCCGGGAACTGCGCGTCACAAAAATGAACCGAAAGCCACTTCAGCTCAGTCACGATAAGAAATCGGCTATGTCTAAAGCCTTTAAATGTCTAAATATTTAGGCTAATAAATGTTATCTGATTATGTAGGCTAATCCATATGAAAACGAGAGGTACAGAGGATCTACTCAAACATGCGCTTCCCAATGAGAAAATGACAAGACATGGGTGAAAATCTCGCTCTAATTAAATGTAGGCTAAATCGCCCTGAATTAAAATGTAAAAACATAATAATGTATTTGTCGAAATGTTGCGATATTGTTTCATTTAAGTTCATAATTATTCTATAAATGTTATTTAATTTAGCAGCATTACCACGAAGCACCGTGTTTCGATATTTATTTGAATAATACAAAATAAAATAAAAACTTAATTCACAAATTGCATGCCTGGTTGTAAGGATCCAAAGATCCCTGTAGACTTTAATATTAAGTGACAACAAATTCACAAGCGTTTTTTCAGATTATATTTAGTTTTGCTTGGAAAAAGCTGCCCCAAACCAGTTTTATTTCATCAATTATTGAAATAATGAAATATTTAGTAATAAACTTTTATGACAGAAATATCACTAGGCTACATGTAACTTAAATCATTTAATTCCTTCATTATCAACACTGTCTAGAATAGCGATTTAAGTGTGAATTGCAACTTCTCTTTGTGTTAAGTCAGCCTCAGACTCCGATAGCCTGTGGGGGGTTGGAGGGACAGTTGCTGGACAAAGGTGTTAATGTTCCTCTTTCATATGGAGAGTGTCGGATAGCCAGCCTGATGAGCAGGCAAAATTATTGTAAGGATAAATCTGTGTCCAAATGTAGGCCCCATATCTTATTAAATTATAAATATTGTAGTTTATTTATTGTAGCCTATTTAAAGTTTTTTTTTCACACAAAATTTCAATTGAAGTTATTGTAAGGTGAATTCAACAAGGCATGCTGTGTCTTTGAAGCAACAATTAAAGGTTAAATAATTTTTTCGTGATTTGTATGGCTGACACGCAGCGACATATACAGTATTATCAGCTGTATGATGTGTTTTTACCCTGAAATGATTAATTTCGAGAGAGAGACCCGCGCGCGCAGCGAGGGAGACTAAATAAACTTGTTAAAAAGAGATCCAGCGCGAGAGAGGCAAAGAGAAACGCATGTTTTTAATTTAATTATGTTTCTTTGGACAATTTTCGTTTTGTAGGCCTACTGTTTTAATTGTTTAATTTAGCTGTAATTTCTTTGGCAATACAAATTTAAAATGTCGCAAGAATAAGATTAGCCTAGTGTTTCTTATTTTGCATCGCAAAAGAAATAAACTCTAAACAAGATGCAACCCTGTTTTAAATTAAACAATTTAAACCTTGAAATGTTCGAACTTGGTTTCAAACTTAAGTAATTTTAGTGTTCTTTTACATTACACAATAATTTAGCAGACTAAAGACGAGCTTCTTCATTTTCATTTTCTGATCGGCTGACAATCTTCATCAGTTTTTGTCGTTTGTGCAGCGGCTGCGGTTCTACAGGAATGTAGCAAATTTATGTTGTAATGATAATCAAACAAAACTCTTGACTTTAAATAAGTAAACAGATATAAACAGTTACCTATTTAAGCATCAAGGTGGGAAAATATAAACGTAGGACAACATCGGTTAACAACATCTATGCTACATTGAGATTCGATCTCGGGTCTGTTGAAGCTCCTCGAAGCTCGTGTCGTTGCGTTGATCACTGAGCTATCGTCTGTACGCTGTTAAAGTTGTAAAGCCTCGTTCATGTAGCCTAAATGTTTTTATTGCAATGTTTTATGTTGAAATGTTTTCATTATTTATTCAATTACATTTCAGTAGCCTAATTTCAGTATTGTGATTATGAATTATTTTAACTACGTTTCACTTGTTGAATTCTTCTGCTACCAGCTTTCAATCGCTCTGAATCAGCGCGGTGCGGCAGCAGATTACGCATTAGAGAGAATAAACCGGAATAAACGAACACTTTTCAGAGTCTATGATTGTAGCGCCTCTTAGCGGTAAAAGGCAGCAAATACACCACACATTTTACCGCCGCGGTGGAACGGCTGATGTGGGCGTTGTCATGGCTTGCCTCGACATTTGCGTTTGAATAGCGCGCGTCGTCCGTGGGCGTGTCAGATTAACGCGTAATGAAGTGTAATGAGCTGGGGGAAAAAATACTGACAGCACTCTCTTTTCATACAGATTGCATAAACTGAGAATATTTGTTTTTTATATAAATTACTTCATTTAAAAGAAGAGAATTCAAGCTTCATAAAGAAAAACCTCTCGTGCCTGTGTGACAAGTAATCGCGGAGTTACAGTTAATCTTAGGACGCGTTTCAGAATGGACTTCACTGACAGAGAGAACGCAAAACTCGCATCATGTTTGTTTTTCTTTATTTGGTGAAAAGCACAACACTTTGTTTTTATTGTGAGTATCCACAAAAAAAATAGAAACTTAACAGGATCTAATGATGTACAACACTTATATGTAAGATCAAAATTAACAGAGTAATTTGAGTCTCTTTTGCACTGATAAGGAAAAAAGTGAGCTGGTATCGCCGGCGAGACCGCCGACCCCAGAGAGTTAAAGTGGAGGGGCTCCCCTGTTCCAAGATGGCGGCTCTATTGACGCATTCGTTCTAATGAACTGCCGTAGCCAAGGCGACATCTCGTGGATACATCTATGGACGTCGACTGGTTGCTGATCATGGCCTGTAGAGGCCGCAACAGGATAAGAAATCTTTGAAGGCCACTTTTACACCATTTCCATCAGGTAAAATGCCATATAAATGCGCTCCACAAGATATGTTTGATTATAACATCTGGATGCTCAAAATTGATTGAGTGAATGCACATTTTGAACAGCTTATTATACACGCAAGTTAATCACCGTTCTGAACTAATGCGCTGCTGCATTGTAACACACACACACACACACACACACACACACACATACAGACAGTAGCGCACACAGAAACATTCAGTAGCACAGAAATGTATTGTCAACACTGTTCTGTGATTTATCAATAAAGCTTAAAAACTGAGAAGTTCTAGCATATATTTCCTAGTAACTAAAACCAACACTATTACCTTCACTATTGGTAGAGAGACGCAGAGACACACAGAACATTCAGAAACAACTTTTTCATTACTTAAAGGTGCTCTACGTAACTTTTAGCGACATCTAGTGGTGATGTTTCGGATTGCAACCAAATTTTACAAGAGCGCTCGTGCTCGAACTCATAGACAATACCGTCTATTACGCAAATATCTCGGCGAATACTTGACGGATTCGGCGAGCACCGAGCTCGTTGGGACCATCTAGTCGGGCTGAAAATAACCATATAAGGTCCATAGTTTTTGGTGGTGTTTTCGCGGAGATAGTAGCAGAAAACCATCGGGCGCGCAGCAAAATTGCGGACGCCGGTGACGTCACGATCTCAGAAGAAAATCGCTCGTATCTCTGGAACGCAAAGACCCAGAGAGCTCAAATTCGGGGGAGGAGGTCCCAGGGGAACCCTTGCCTGAACGCTAGAGTGGCGGGCCTCGGGGATGCCCCCTACCGGATCGCCGTTCGCTGGGACCCCCGATTTCGATTGGCTATAACTCGGGGAGCCGGGCGAGTTGGACCTCGGGGGTGGGCTCGTTCGAAAGGCCCCGTCCAGCACTACGAACGATTAGAGTCTTGGGAATATTGATCAAAGATTGACTGAGATATAAGCCGAAAAACGTGCGCCTTTAACCGGACGTAACTCCCTGACCGTCTACAATAGACTGTATATAAGGAGAGAGGCTCGGGAGCGCGCATGCACGTCACATCCGTTGGATTTCGCGGTAAATCCGACCCGGAGACTTCACATAGAAATAGGAATACTGGCCTTCAGAGGTAATAGCAAAACTCGACAAGTGGATCATTTTAATGTGTGATTACAACCCCTTCACACACAGGCAATAAAAAAAGGATTCATTTTAGTAGAAAAGTTACATAGAGCACCTTTAATGGACAGCAAAATGTTCTTAGAACATAAAAGTGTTAGCTGGGAAGAGCCAAAGCTACACCCTTAAAGGGATAGTTCACCCCAAAAATACAATCTGTCATCCCCAAAACTATATGCATTTCTTTCTTCTATGGAGCATAAAAAAAAAAAAAAAGTTTTTCTATGCAATGAAACTCAATGAAAACATGTTTTGGATCATGGATCACAAACAGTTGAAACATTTCTCAAAATATCTTATGTGTGTCACAGAAGGTTTGGAAAGACATGAGAGTGAGATAATGCACATTCTCATCCTTTGGCGTCATATAGGTGACGCCATATGACATTTCGTTGAAATCTTACACACATGGCATCCTTTAGCGTCAATTTAACACGCACTGTTATGGGTTTAGGTCTGGGGTAGGGTTACGGTTATGACGCCTTGGGATCTGCGTCTCATATTGACGCTAAACGATGCCATGTGCGTAAGATTTCAACGAAATGTACAAAGCGTCACATGTATGACGCCAAAGGATGAGAACGGGCTGGATAATGATGAAAAAAGTTTATTTTTTGAGTGAACCACTGTGTCCCTTTTAACAGACACTTTGAGTAAACAAACATGAATCTGGCTTTTGGAAACCAGCTGAACAAAGTAATCTCGACTACTGGCCAGATCTCACTGCACCGGCAGACGCCGACCAACGGCAACAAACACAGCATCGGGTGGTTTTGTCAGATCAGTGTGTTATGGCGTTGGTCGGTGCTTGAGTTCACCAGTTAAACATGTTGTATGGACGTTTCTCGGGTCATGGAATGTCTGAGAAGTGACAACGCTATCTCACGACCAATTCGGACGAGTGAGTAAAAGGTGACTAATTTCGTACGACCTCACTCGTACCGGTTTGTCCGATTTGTCTAAACCCCAGTGATGGGTAGGTTTAGGGGCGGATTCAGAGGTAGGTCGTTCAAACGAACTGCCCACCTCGTAAAATACGTACGAATTGCCGTGAGATCGGGTTGGAAGTGACGTGTTGTAATCTGGTGATTGTGCGTGTTGGTCTTATAGTCATCTGAGATGTTCTCCAGAATTGCACATGACTGAATTTGCTCTTTCTAGAGTTTATTTAGAAATTAAGTGCCGTGTGGACGCGTCCCAGCTTGTGTTCCCGGCCTTCCCCCTGGTTTCCCGAGTCCTCCTGAGCGAGCTCCACGAGTAGAGCCCGAAGCTGCTGTCTCACGGCCCGCCTGCCCTCGCCGATCTCTGCGCACTCCTGAACGGCTCTCTGCAGCGCCACCTGCAGGGGGAGACCCGCTTTAGCGCCCAGCAGCGTGGGAGAAAACCACGGCCTGAAGATCTTCTCACAGATCACCTGTGGAGAGACAGAAACAGAAGCATGACCCGCTGTGGATGAGGAGAGCAGCCATTAGCGCCATCCTGGTCTCGTTTCATCATCTCCGGAGCAATCATCAGCCATATTCGCTATGCGTGCCATTTGAAAGCAAAATGCGATGGTCTCCTTGACCCAACAGCCTGAACGTTACAAAGCCCTCATTGTTCTGAATGGCAGGCCATACAATGGGAAGGTAGAGGTCACCAAGGGTTGCGTTAAGTGATCGGGAACGGAGAGATGGGCTCTGTCTCAGCCACCTGTGGCCAGCTCGTCTGTTAGCTTGTTCTCCTTAAGGGGAGTTGGCACTGACAGCAGGTGTTGACTACCAACCAACCCAAATGAACAGATGAAAGACGTTGCGTGACTGTGGCAAAGTATCTTATGGAGAATTTAAACCTGCAATGGCGGCGGCATTCGGGAAAATTGTTACACCTGATTCCACTCTTATCTATTTATTGTCATCTGGCTGTCATAATATCTTCACAAATACTTCACAAGTATTTTTGGGGCATCCTTTGCATTTGTTGTAGGTTTGACTTGTTCCCATGCCTTTTTGGTGAAATTGCAAAAAAAGAAAAGGAGTAAGGAATCGTGTAAACGGGTTTTCTGATTTTTTTTTAAAATGTTATCACCCTGATCCAATGTCGTAAAACACTCAAAAACAAAATCACTGAATTTTAGATTATCAATTTCCAATCTGAGTCATATATAATCTGTATTATAAATATATACTATATATATGTAATGTTTTGTTCTTTTTGCAATGAAATTTCAGTGTAAATAGTTTTAAATATTGCACTTTTTATGTCAATTTAACGGTAACACTTTACAATAAGGTTTGATTAGTTAATGCATTAACTAACATGTACTGTACTAACAATGATTAATACACCTGTTACATGATTTACTCATCTCTGTTAATGATAATTAATTTAAAAAAATTGTTAGTTCATGTCAGCTCAGGTCCTTTTAAATAATATTAACAGATACTTTTGATTTGAATAATATAGTAAATGTAGAAATTAACATGAATGTTTTTCATTGTTAGTTCATGTTAACTAATGTAGTTAACTAATGTTAACAAATGAAACCTTATTGTACTGTGCTCCCAATTTAACTAATGTTTCTAATAATTGGGCCAAATTGAAATTGTCCTTGAATTTTATATATAAAAAAAAATTAAACTTGATCATTTGTAATGCTTTTTTTAAGCAGAAATGACTCTATAAAACTAGTGTTGTCTCTGGTGAACATGTGTTACACATACGGGTCAGTTTAGGAGCATTTGAAACAATATGTACTACTTTTAAAAATTCATGCAAACAACCTCACAAAAAGCGATGAGAGATCGGAATTGTTGGCTTGCAGTGTTTATGGAGCCTTAATTTTTTTAATGCAGATTTCATATCTGATTTTTTAAATGTCATGTGTGTGTAGTTTATCTGTAGCCGTAGCTTGCAACTGATGAAGATGTTACTCGCTTATAATCAAAGCTGCTTCCTCAGTTCGGTCAGTGCTGTTGACCCCCATTGTGTTTGATGCCGCTATCTGATTCCCTTCAGCGTTATCCTGAACTATTAACATTCCCAGCATTTTTCTCGGCAATGTTTACAGCGGAAGAATGATTGTCTCCTCCGGGCTATTTTAGTGGTATTCCTGTGTGACAGTTTTCAAACAGAAAGTCATTTTCTTTTCTCTTTCAGAACAAGTCAACACCCTATCGCATATATAATTGCTAACCACATAACTCCAAAAGATTATTGAATGTTGAAATATAGTATAATTGATGCAGTATACAATAGAATAGAAAGCTCACCCACCTGAAGATTACTGTTTTGGCGTTTTGGCCCACATCTGTTTTTAGATCTGTCACACTTGGAAATGCAGTCAAAGAAGTTGCAGTCATTGTCACTGGTGCAGTTCTGCTCAAGTATGTCTCTCATTTTGGGCTCGAAAAAAGCCATGTCCACATCTATTGCCACCACCTGACCAGCAAAAAACAACAATAAATATATAGTATTTATATTTACAGTGGGGCCCAACATTTTAAAACCACAAGAATCTGGTTTTCAAAATCTAATTTAATCCTGGAAATAAAAAAATGTTTTATGATAAAATAAAATAAAAAACAATATGAAAAAAACAAATATTTCGTTTCTAGGACATTTATTAAAATATGTGACAAATTTGCAACATTAATCATCCAAACTCTTTTGTAGCCTACATTATGTCAGGTGTTCCTGCTAACATTGGAAATATCAAATATTAAAACTAAGACTAATCAAGATTATGATTTAAACTGAACTTTAAATTGAAATTGTATTGCAATAAAAAAAAAAGCAAAATAGAAGCTTTTTCAATAATGGTCTCAGACTATTGAAATTATTTAAACGCTGTTTATTAATTAATAATAGATTTTTGGTTGCACTTTATTTTACAGTACGTGCACTTACCTAAGAAAGTGCAGGGTAATAAAAGGTAACATGGGTTAAGGTTAGGTTTAGGGGTAGTTCAGGGTTAGTACCTAGTTATTACAGTTATTGCAATTACTATAATAAGTACATGATGTACATGCGGAACAGGACTGTTAAATAAAGTGCTACCAGATTTGTATAGAGAGATAGACAGACAGACGTATACTGTAAATATATATATAACCTCTGCGGTAAGCTCTTAGACTACTAAGATTCGGCAAGCTTTGACAAAGCTGTTTTTCTGTTCCTCACAAACCCTGTTTTATCAGAATAATAATGAGAATCTGTGCATGAAATTAACATAGACCTCTACATAAACAGAAAAGGACAGTAATTGATATGTCCAAAAAAAAAAAAAGACCGGCAATGCAAACAGAATCTTACACACATACTGACTTTTGTAATGCTGTGTGTTAGAAAGGTGGCATATCGCTGATCTGACTTTGATTGATGGGTGTCATATCTGCATCATGATGTCATCAGCTGCTGTTTACAGTACGGCAGTAAAACCCGTTAAACCAGCAGCGTTCATCTCAACCTCATCGGCTGCGCTGGAGCACAAATAATGCGTGCGTAATGCCCAGCATTTGCTGTATAGATCTACAGATTGATTTTTCATCTGTTTTTGAATTATTTCATCATGAGATCTGAATAAATATTTGACTTCACAGTATAATTATCTTACTTGTTTTCTTGCTAAAATAGATAGCTTATGTTTGAAGAACTCATTGTTGATGTAATATGTTGGGGCAAACTATAATTATTAATATTTATAATAATTATAATTAATAATTATTAATAGCTTAAATACTTGGAATATCTGGACCATAACAAGCCTTTGGGCAGTGCAAGTTTATAAGGAAATCTTTAGGAGATTTAATCGAGCGGTTAAACACTATCCTTCCTGTAGTTTACATCACAGTTTTGCCAACGAGACGAGGATTATGTGCTCATGAATTTGATTTAATTATAATAACACTTGCCTATAATGTAATCTAATACGGGAAAGAAACATTGTAAAATATTTACTCTTCATAGAAATATTTTATTCCGATTTGGGTCCAAGTCCTGCCTCGGATGATTCAGTCGACCATTATCACATTGTAAATACTTGCATTTTTTTCTTCTTCTATTTAATCAGCTCATGTCTCTGATTAAATTAAATGATTTGGAGGATCACTTGTAATGTTGGTGACAAGAAATGTGTCGGTCCCACATTAAGTGTCTTTAACTACAATGTTCCAACCGTTAAATGAATCATTTGATGCAATGCACTTGTACTTTTCTCTAAACACATCTATTATTACACTATTGACCCTTCCCTTAAACCTCTACCCATACCACTAAACCTGTCCTAACCTAAAGCCCGGGACACAAAAGACGAAAGCTGACTGTCTCGGACCAGCATGTCGTGTAAATATCTGTCTATATCAGCAGGAATCATATATTTGTCATTCAAAAAGGGAAACCCAACCTAGGACTGCAGATACACAAAGCGTGAACAAAGCACCTGTACAGTCTTGACCTCTCTGCTCGCTTTCATCACTTTCGTGCACCGACTCATTCGCTGAGCTGAACAGCCAATCAGAGTTCTCGCTCTCACCGACAGCGATTTAACCGTATCCCGTAATGATCCGCATCACACAGCACAAGCGTTTCGCAATTCAGCATCAACGCAATAAGTACCTGATGCTTTTTAATGCAAGTATAGTTGCTAAAGACACCTAATAAAGTGTGACCAATGTGTCTATCCACACTAAAACCCAAAATGTTGTGTGACATGCCGTAATAAGTGTCAATCAGTACATACAGTCAAACCAAAATGTATTTCTCATTTCTCACATTTATCACAGTTTATTCGCTATAGTGTAGAAAATGGTAATAAAATAAGACAAACTCAGAGTTATCAGACCAGTTGATATTTCACTGGGTTTTGTCCGTCCTTCTGTTAGACTCTCACAAATGAATTAGGTTGAATATCTGTCAGCTGTTAAATTCATCTACACAATTAGATAATACCAATTTAGGTCAACCAAGTACAAAGCAATGCTTAGTTTTGTTCAGTCTGTAGTGTAAAAAGTTTGCATTAGCAATTAAAGAAAAAAACAGTTCAGCAAAACATGGTCAGGTCAACGTGTGTGGATATTTGGTCCCACATTTTTATAAATTTTATTGGTAGACACTGTATGAAGAATTTTTGGGTATAATATGTCACAGTTTACTTTATTTTGCTTTCCTCGCTTACATAAATGAACTATAGAGTCCTGCACCCACTAGTAAAAAATATCACAATTACATCGGGTGTCTGAATCATTTTTGGTTTGACTGTAATTTATGTAAAATGTTCACTGTGAAATTTTGTGATTTGACTGATATGCTTCTGGCTTTATAGAGTGTTTACTCACCGTCAGGTCCTTCCTGATGGCAAAGTTCTCCGGTTTGATATCACAGAGGTGTAAGCGGTGTGAAAAGTCATTCTCGAAATGCTCCACCATCTCCAGAAAGCTCAGAGCCACTCGGGGAACCATATCTCTGGCGGTGAACATCTTGTCCCGTCCGCTCCCGGGGCTCGGCGAGGGGCTCAGTGACAGTTCCTCCAGAGAGAATATGTGTTGGTCCCACGCGTGTCCGGCGGCCAGGAACTCCACGGCATAGAAGTGTCCACAGGAGCCCAGGATCTTGGCCACGTGGTGGGTCAAATCCTGCAGGACCCTGAGGAAGATGTACTCCTCCTGCTGAAGGAGAGCCCAGAGCGAGGCCAGCTCAGCTCGCGAGTACGTGCGCTCGCTCTCCTTCAGCTTCTGACCCCACAAGCGGGGCAACGTCAAGTTAGTTCCCGTCTCCAGGCCGAGCGAGTTCTTGATCTCCAGGGTGGCGTAGAAGACGACATCCAGAGGCGAGAGCTCCTCCTCGCCACCCGTTCCTCCTGCCCCGTCCTGGTACTCCAGCAGAGCTAAAGCCTCGTAGGAGGAGAAGTTCTCCAGCTTGGACTTGAGGACGACAGGCACCCCGCGCCAGCTGGCGGCCATGACCTTCTTGCCATTCTCGTAATAAAGGCAACGTTTGTATTCCACGCGGCCGGCCACGCAGAGGTCATCACAGAGGTCACCGCTCAGAACGCCCTGCTGATACTCGTCACACTGAAACACACACACACACACACAACAGCACAGCGTTACGCTCCGCTCTTCACACTAGAAGCTGAATGTGCACCATATTTCAGTGCCTTTTCCTTTTTAAACAGCATTTTCAAAAGACCAAGCCATATATGCAGTGTGTATGTATATATATATATAAAAATGTATATATAAATTTTATAATAAATCAAGTGTAAATCAAGAACTTTGTAGTTCAAATAAACACTGATCTTTTGAACTTTCTATTAATCAAAGAATCCTGGAAAACAAAATGTATGTCGGTTTCCACAAAAATATGAAGCAGCGCAACTGTTTTCAACATCGATAATTATCATAAATGTTTCTTGAGCAGCAAATCATCATATTAGAGTGATTTCTGAAGGATCATGTGACACTGAAGAGTGGAGTAATGATGCTGGAAATTCAGGAATAAATTATAATGGTCTTACAAGTTCGATTAGACCAAAGTATGAGGGAAGAACAAAAACACTAAACTTAAGATATCTGACAAAATTATTTGGCAAAATAGGCGAACTACAGCTACGTTATATATTGCAAAAATTAAATGCGTAGACAAACAAAAAGCTCAACAACAACAACAACAACAACAAAATTAATTGAATACAACAATCAATTATTAATATTTTGTTGATTCTCTCTTGGTTTTTTTTGTATGTGTTTGTAATGTCAGAACAATTTGTTTCATTGCGTTGATTCCTAACACAATATTGCTTAAAAAAATCAAAAAAACATTTGAACAATATTGGAATAAAGGGTGAATATGTAAATTTTCCTAGGCTGGACATTTTGGCCACTACTATATATAGCATTTATATATATATCTATCATTTTTACAATTCATAATTTTATATTGTATACCATATTATGTTTATTATTCTTATTCCTAGCATGTATTAGCATCCCTACACAGTTTCATATAGTCTCATTATTATGATGTGTCATCAAACTAATTTCCTTTGCGTTAAAGCAGTTTTTAATGAATGCAATCTTAATTCCATCTTATATCACACCTTTTGAATATATGCCTATGTTGAGATACTGTACCAATGCCACCTGTCAGCATATTTTACTGCCATGCATGAAATTCACATATTTAATCTTGCAAACCAGTCAAATAACCATTTTTATGCATGGTTTTAAAACAGATCTGCTTTTGCTCTTGTCCCTCTTTGACCCTCTGGTGAGAAATGAGCTAATTACTGGTTGTTGCTGCAGTCTGCACATATATGTGTCGGTTCAGGGGCTTCGGGGCTTCGGATGATTTGTGTTCCACTGAGATTACACTGCAAATCGTCCTCTGTCACCTTCCAAAGTAAACAGCTGTTATCCGCTCACAGTCCGGCGCTAGTCCGGCTGCTATCGGCAGTGGCTTTAGCGATATGTTTTCCTTATCGTTATCCATCAGAATGGTCTGTGGGATGCTCTCTCTTTGGTTGTCCCCTTACATAAAATATGTCCTCTGTGTTCCTGCTAAAGCATTTATAAAACTGAAGTTTGTGTAGCTAAACCTGCTTGGCTAAAATTGGCAATGATAACACTACATTTTTACATTCTCTGAAAACAATCTGAGTGCCGTTCGCTTGTGCAAAAGTTGCTGTGTAAGAGCAATGGAGACATAGTCAGACAGTCTGAAATTTTGGCTCAATCGGTCAAAGCATAGAAATGTAAGGTTACACTTTATTTTAAGGTGTCAGACTCATTGTTACAGTGTAATTATATATTAAGTACTGAGTAATATTAATTAACCACATGTTCTTACTATAGGGTTAGGGTAGGATGTAACAAGGACACTGTAAGATAAAGTGTTACCAAATGTAATAGCATTCTCGACGAGAGATGAGCTTTAATGGGGGATTTTGTGAATAAAAGTGGTGAAGACGTCAAAATGTCGAAAAATGCATCAATCAGAATGAATCAATTCCGATTTCAAGGGCGTTCTGTTTAATATGAACCCTATACGTTGCAAAACGATTTACATATTCGTTTGCATGTGCATCCAAACATTACATCGCCACGTTCAAAACCACGAAAGCAACCACAATGATGCCAGCGTATCTTAATAGCATTATAGTAACACTAATTTAATTCGGATCAAACTCAATTGGATTGATTGAGGTTTTGGCCAGTTCGATTGAGCCATCAACCAGTTTAATACCATATTATATGAGTGGATAGCTAATGATCTCTATAGCAAGTTTCATTAATTCTGCCAGAAATGCTGAAGGGTGCCTGTACACATTGTACGATTTTGGGCTGTCGACCAATCGTGGCGGTTTCTGTGGTCCTGGCTCCTAAACGGTGTCCTATACGTCATACAGTTCAAAGACGGCTGTTGTCATGCTCTTGCCACCAAAGATAGCCTGTGATAATCTACTGAGAGTTTTAGAAATTTAGCATGATCATCTATCAGTGTGTTTGTTGCTACGACATATACTGACTAGCCAATAAATGCAACATGAAATGGTGTATTGATCAACTTGACATGCGCTAAAACTACCTCAAGCTCCATTTGCAGCATTAGTATGCCAAGTTGGCCTCTTTTCCTCATCCATATTCTCCTTTTTCGCTTCCTCCTCTTTTTTTTTAGGCCACATTAAAAACCACAATTGCCAAAGTGCGATTCATCTTGCTCTATTTATTTGACACTAGCGCATACTGATGACGTTTTACTCTTCTATACTAACTTACATGGTAGTCTTTGATTCAATAGGTGTCATCCACTCTAAAAAATGCAGGGTTGTTTTAACCCAAAGTTGGGTCAAATATGGACTAACCCAATTGCTGGGCTAAAATTTTTCATTTAAAAATGTTACCCAATGGCCCCTTATTTGACCCAAATTTTGGTTGAAACAACCCAGCATTTTTTGGTCACTTTGACCAGACACTTGAATAATGCGCTGGGAATCTCAGATGTTTGTTATCAGCTCGACTAAGAATAAACATATGCTTCAACCCTGCAGAGCCTCTCGTGGTGTTTATGTGGGCCAAAGATCCCTGTCGTGGTCTGTGGTCACTACCGGGCGTTTGGTCTAGGCGGATGGGTTTTGTTCAGCACTGTAAGTGCCAGCCAAATCCTCCACATGTGTTTTAATTCCCAGACTTGGCTTCAGATGGGACAACAGCTCCCATCTGCATGTAAACTTTTCTACCGTGTGGCCTGTACACGAGCGGCTGCCCCAAATCCAATGTATGTTTGTGTGTTTAGTATAGAAAGTGAACTCACTGTTTGGAGATTTGAAAATGAATGTGTGTAGGCAGGGAAACTCTTGCTGATCGGAGAAAGTGACTCAAATGTTGTACATCATGACTGTGTTTGTTATCTAGCGGTTGGGATGACAGAAACATCCATCTTTTTTCTTTCAGTACAGCCAAGAGCGAAGATGAAGCCCTGGATCTGATAGCATGTTGGTCTGGCACATTATCTCTGATGCGAATAAATGAACCACAGGCACACTCTAAACATTAACATATGCAACTACTTTGAATTTGTTGTTGTTATGGAAAAATCTACAAGAAGGCAGGGTTATTATCCATACTCAAACTAAACCCATTACAAACATTTCAGTTCATTGAAATAAAGCTGGAATAAAATAAAATATAAATGTTAGATGAAAAGCTTTAAATGAAAATGAAATATGTTGCCTTGGCAATAAACTGAAATAAGTTTAAGATGAAAATAAATAAAAACTAAAATGGTCTGAAACTAAAACTTAAATAAAAAATAAATTAAGCCTAAATAGCTATATTTAATAATAAAAAGAAATTACAAAAGCTCATAAAAAATCACTAAACATGAAAACTAAAAATACAAAAATAGCTAATTCAAAATATTATTACAACCATAATGATACTAAAATAAAAACTAAAATAACACTATTTTTATTATTAATGGCATCGGCCCTACTTTATATTAAGTGGCTTTAAGTACTATGTACTTAGAAAAATAAGCACAATGTAGGCCTACTTATAGTGTTGATGTTGTATTGTAAAACACTTGTGCTGCTATTGAGGAGTGATACGGGTGAGGTTAGGGACAGGTGTGTGTGTGTGTGTAAGGGTGGGTTACGGTGTAAGGGAAGGGTCAACAGTGTAATTACAGATGTAATTACATAAATTAATTACAGCTGTAATTACATGCAGGTATTTTCAAAATATAAGTACAATGTAAAAACATGCATGTACACAGTAAGTCCGTTGTATCAAATTATTAATTTCAATGTAAGTACATAGTACTTAAAGCCACTTAATATGGTGGGACTAACATGAAACACAGTTTGTGCTATAGGGACTCAAACCGGCTTGTTGGGGAGAGGTGTGCTGTTACTAAGCAATTGCACTTATATTTTTGGCCTGGGGAAACAACAGAGGAAACACACACACACACACACACACACACACACACACACACACACACACACACACACACACTAAAGGAGGGACCGTACTGAGAGATATCTAGGGAGCAGAAAACTGAAATGCAACTCCAGTGTTGAGTGACGACATGAAATAAGATGGAAACAATATTTTCTTTATGCTTCTGAGCATGTAAGGTAATGATTAAACATTAGACTCCAGAGAATAGCAGTCTATTTCTGTTGCCCACAGGCTGTATTGCCATCTGGCCCGAGTGCTGGCCCGTCCCGGCATGCCAAGAATGTCTGCATAGGCTGCGCTGGGTCACTCCATCATTTTTATTTTACAAGAAACTCACTAAAACTCTGATTCAAAACGGGAAAAGGGCCTAATGTGCTCCAATAAACTCTAGTATGCCAATATACACACATACTAGAGCTGCACGATTAATCGTTAAAAGACCGCAATCTCGATTCAAACACCCATGATTTTATTTCTAAACGTGTCTATTAAACCTTTGCCATGTCCATTCCCAGTGCACATTCAGATCTGCGTTGACACAGAGCCAGAGAGAGTGTTCATGTTTAGGCCTACTGTAGGAATGAAATGGGCTTTTCAACCACAGTTTCATTATTTCTGTCTTACAATCATTCAAATGATCACAGAAGTACTGGGATAAAAGTTCATAGTTCGGATATAAACACAGATGTGCACAGTAGCGAAATAGAGCAAATCACCTTTAGAAAATAACATGGCGCTTCAAATAACGATTGTATCATTACATCGTTACACCAGTAGGTGGCGACACGTGACTGTTGAAAAATGAATTTGTCTTTTAATCGTTTATTCAAGAGATTCGTTTAAAAACGCTGATTCATCCAGTAATGAAACAATTTTTATGAGTGAGTCGTTTAATCAGTCATTTAACCCGATTAAAAAATAAATGATTCAAATTAATTATTATTAATTAATTAACAAACTGCAGTCATTAAGATTTTGTCAGAACCTCCAGTAAATGACGTTCTCTTGTTTAGCTGTCTAATCAAAATTGGTATTCTGATTACCATTGTTGGTATCATCATAGATGTATCCATGTATTCAATCTGTCTTATTTTACCTTGTAGGTATTTGATTACCATTAGCATAATTGTTACCTAAGGTCATATATGGTGTGTATTTAGGATATGTTGTGTTTTGTTTTTGTTTTTTGGTGGGGGAGAAGGGGTTCCTCTTCTTTCCTTTCTCATATTTGCTTATATGTATTTATATAAGAAATTGTAATTGAGTGTTATGACAATGTTTAAGGAAGCACCTACTTTTGTTTTGTTTTTGTTTTTCCTGTTAATGGTAACCGGGGTGGGTTCAAATAAGTTTGACTTCTACCCACTCCTTTTCGAGCAATAGATGAAATTATTTGTTAAAGTTTGATGAAAGTATGATGAATTTAAAGGCTTGTATAGGTTAATAAAAATGCTTCTTATTGCCTTTGTCATGTGCAGTTATATATTGCTCAAAATAAATAAATAAATAAATAAAATAAAAATAAAATAATCATTTTAAATGATTCCCAATTTATCCAGAATTGTGCAGCTCTAACACACACACTGGCCCCAAAGAGCCCTATATTTCAAAACACATGAATGCTATTGTATTATATAAAATATCAAATCAGCTGGCATCTGCAAACACACGATACTCAATTAATCTCTCTTGTAAAACGAATTTTTCGGAACCATTTTTGTAAAGAATTTTAATCAATTGGTGTTCTGGTGATGTTTTTATTTAGCGGATGTATAAAGTCATGTTTCACTTCTTTTAAAAAAAAGAAATTAATACTTTTATTCGGCAAGGATGCATTAAATTGATCAAAAATGGCAGTAAAGACATTTTAAAAAAAAATAGATTTCAAATAAATGCTGTTCTTTTGAACTTTATATTTACTAAAGGAAAAAAATATGAAACTGTTTTCAACATTGATAATAATCATAAATGTTTCTTGAGCAGAATGATCTGAAGACTGGATCTGAAGGAAAATTCAGCTTTGATCATTGCATATTTAATTACAAAATAGGATAAAAGAGGTTTTAAAAGAATTCTCTATAGTTTTTGTGCTACTCTTTTGTTATTTGGTGCAAAGACATTCATACATTTTTAAGTGTGGCTTTTGTGGCCACTGAAATATTTGATGTGCAGTATATTTGCAACATCTAACATCCATCATATCTTGTTCGAATGATACATTTGAAGCATTAAACCAACAACAAAAACAATGATCTTCGCATGAAGGTCCATCAAGTCAGTGGACCGTGTCTATCCACCGCATGCAAGACCATCTGTGCTTAACCTTCACAAGAGAAGAAACAGAGAGCCTGCAGCAGAGCACCACTAAAACAACAGTTACGTTTCATAAACTCATGCCAACACTTCTATTATACATAGGCCTGGTTGCACAGGTGACAGATGGCACCGCTGATTAAAAAAGGTCTCGTGTAGTTCAATGTCTAATCGCCCAAAGATTCTCAACCACATGCTGCCAGAAACTATAAACAGTTTATTGTGTGAATGTGCACCACTCTCAGTTGTTTATTGCAATGTTGAACCCCTTAGAAAAGCTAACTGTTTGGCAGATCCTCAGAATGTTTTTACAATCCATCAACTGAGAAATAGGCTTTAGTGTTTTGGAGATGTTCTGTAACAAATAAAGCAATAATGGGAAGTCGCTTAGTCACGAAAACCTCCGGGAGTGGATATGGTCTCCATTAATGCGACCTGAGATCTGAAATGAGGAATTTACACCTTTCAGTCCTTACAAAAAAAAACAGAAATAGTGATGTTTATTTACAACGAGTATAAGCTTTTAAGACAAAGTGTGTTGTCATAAGAAAGCGCTGTGACAATTTATGAAAGGATTTTGATTATGAAAGGACATTTCCTAACAAACATGTAATGCGGCTTATGAGAGAACGGTCACAAAGCTTTTGAAGCGCGCTGTAAGACAATTCAGTGGAAAATTAGACAGAGAACAGGATAAACAAATCAAAATTCAATTCTCATTTTTAAATTAATTAATTAGGTAAAATCATTAGGTAAATTAATAAATGTGAAAACATTTTTGGCATCCTAAATCTGAGAGTTTCTTTTTTTTTTTACATGTAAATCCACGGACATGAATACAGAATTAATGTGAGAGCAGTTAGACTTCAAAAATCGGTAACACTTTATTTAGATTATCCACTTTAGACATTAACTATGAGTATCTTTCCAACTACATGCCAACTTTAGAAGTCATAAGAGTATTAGTCGACTGTCTGCTTAATATCTGCTAACACTTTATTTTGATGCTCCCCAACAGATAAATAACTTTGCAACTACAAGTCAACTCCGAACCCTATCCTAGTCGACTAATACCCTGATAGTTAGTTGACATGTAGTTGCAAAGTTACTTAGTAGATTGTCTAAAGTAGACTATCGAAATAAAGTGTAACCCAAAAATTTGCACAAATAAAATGTTAATTCATGTTAATGTTTTTGCAATATTATTGAGTAATAAAAAAAAAACAGATTATGATATTATTTAAATGTCAATCATTTGTATGCACTTTTAAATTGTGATTCACAGCAGCACTGTTCATGTAGCTTTCGGCAAATGCGTTTGCAAAGAGCGTGTTAATAATCTATTTAAAGAATACTGACACAAAACATAATAATTTTATAATAAAATAAATGCTTTAGAATAATCCCATTGTCCAAAAGTCCAAATATTTAACCTCGCACTCTGGAACCTGAACCATTATATTCCTCACTAAACATCCTTGGGAGTTTCAGATTGACTAAGACCCAACAATTACATCAACCAGTCTGTTATTTCACTTTATCCTCATTGCCAAAATGACAGATACTTCACAGTTATAGTGTCTCCACCCAGTCATCATTTGCACAATATTGGCACACGGCAGCACTCCATTGGCTTGCAGCTGTCGAACTCAGTGGGATATTTACCGTAGCCTGCCCAAATATTAAGAATTAGATGACTTTTGTGTTAGATATTGCTGGAGCAAAAATGTCATTCACTCGGTATATATTTCACATTCATGTTATAGTTCAAATGATTGCATGAGTCAGTGTTACTTCAAACGAAAAAACATAATGACTATTATTATTATAAGTGGATGTTCTATTTCAGTAATTAATATGCATTCTGATCATTCAAATTATTGCATGCATTTTCAAAATAAAAAAACTTGCTCTGAATCTGCTCATGCTAATGCATTTAGTTTTAGTAATGATAGTGTGCGTGCAAAAACTTTCCTACTAGTTATTGCCAGTAGTCATCTTCCAATCCCAGTTTGAAGGCTGACAGGATTTTGTGGTTCCCGATGTGGCAACAAACAAAATGTTCTTTCAGCACTCACTTGACATCACATAATCCAGTGGCTCTGAAAGAGCTTTAGGTTTCCCTCCGAGGAACAAAGCTTAAGCCTTTAATGGAGGTCCGTTACTGCTGGTACCCATGATTCAATGCTTGCCTGAGTAATCCTGTGAAACGCGTTGTGTATCATTTGGTGGAAACTTCACCAAAACCCCTAGAGGTATCACTACAACTGCAACACGACAACTCATTCTGCTGACAGACCTTTTCTTGTTTATTTTCAAAAACTAGCCGATTAATCTGTTGTAAAAGTACTGTAGTGCATTTTAGGTTTAAGGCAAAACCAATATTTGTTTCTTGCACTTTGGGCTTTTTTTCTTATAGTCATCTTAGTGTTAATAAAGCATTTTAAAAATCACATTTCAGTGTTTATTTTATTTATGTCAATTTCAATGGCAATACATATCTTTAAATGCCACTCCAGCAGCACTGACTTTAGTTTTATTTCTATCTATATTTTGAAGGTTTTTACAAAGCTTCATCATTTGCCTGATTTTATAAAACAATTTAATTTGTAAAAAACATGGTGAAAATGTTATTGTTTTTTTCTGATAAAAAGAGATATCCCAGCTGAAAAACTGTAAAATACCAAAAGTAAAACTTTTGAAACCGGCAAATTGGTGCATATTTATTTAGATAGTGTCTCATTTGCAATTTTAACATAACATTTCCGAAAACTCAACTTGATTAATCAACTGGGGAAGTAAGTATCCATTCACCTGTGGTGTTTAGTCTACTTTTTTTGTGTTGTTGCTCTTTTGTCAAGTTTGGCAAGAGTGAGTGAGCAACAGCTTAAGAGCCTTTTCGATCAAATATGTAAATGAGCGATCACAAAAGTTAGGCTTACCACCCTCTGCAGGATCTCTTTGCTCTTGTCGTCAGTGCAGAAGTCTGAGAACATGTTCCTGTGCACGAACACCAGGCCGTTGAGGAAGAGCCAGGAGGCCAGCCACACGAGGACGAGCAACAGCGCGCTCCTGCGACACACCTTCACCCCCAGCCACCTGAGGGCCGAGCCCAGGGCCCTGCGCAGGGACCGCCGCATCTGTCGGGACCCCCTGTGCCAGGAGCCCTCTGGTTTCCACTCAAGGGTGTGTGAGTCTGTGGCATCTGTGAGGATCTCTGCCTCGCTGCTCTGCGTTTGCGGTTAACCTTCTTCTCGGGGGACTCGCATGCTCTGTTGCTGCACTGCCTCCTGTTATGCGGATCACTCTCTCTCTCTTTCTCTCTCTCTCTCCTCCAGCTTCCTCTACGCCTTCCTGCGTTTGTTTTGTGAATGAACGAGGCGAGCGGTGGTGTGTGAAGAACGCCTCAGACTTTCTCTGCCTCATTCACCACTTCATTCCCACCCCCCAGATGTCTCTCACTTTGACTCTTTCTCTTGAATCCAGTGTGTTTTCACTCTGCCTCTTGCTCTCCATTCCCTCTCTCTCTCTCTCTCTCTCCAAACAACACTCCACCTTTTTTCCCTCTGTTTCCCGCCCCCTTCTTGAGTGCTTTCCTCCTTTGGGTCGCCTTATTCTGTTTCCAAGGCAGCCAGGCCTTTTCCTGACGGCACACAGACCTTGGCGTGCCGGATCCGTCTCTTGTGCCAAGCACAGACCCTCAGATTACTCCGCTTGAAATCCTGCTTGCATTTTAAGCACCGCAAACAAAACAACACAGGCCGGCGTGTACCAGTATTACTGGTTATTTGATTAGAGACGGATTCTCCCACGGTGATAATGCCCACATATTTGATTTGCAGGAGCAGGTCGAGCGCTGAGCCTGCAGTTCTGCTGGGAATCTCAGCGGTCGTTTTTTCCTTCGATTGTGAGAGCCGCAGGTGAACAGAATCCCTAATCACTCGGCTCATAAAAGAAAGTGCTTACTTGCCAAGAGCAAGAATCCTTCATCTGTTTTATGCGTGTTCCTTTAAACCTCGACACGCTAGAGACGGGTGTCTCAGGTTGCTTTAATTGCCAATTAGATAGCCTTGTGCAGTCAGTGAGGGATTCTGTCTTCAAACGTATTAATGCTATCAGCAAATCGCAGATACTCTTGAGATCGCCTGTGCTTTCTCATAGCCCGTGAACTGATGAATAAGCACATTGTTTAAATGGACATGGAGTTGTGCTTGTTTTCTCCTTGAGGGTCTTGCTTAAGGGCTTATATAAGGTCATTTGGAAATACAATAAATGAACATGATTATATATACACATATCTTTCAAAAGTTATTTCAAAAGATTGCTTATGTGTTATATTTTATTTTTATATTATATTTTGCAATATATTGTAATGTAATTTTTTTCCTGTGATCAAAGCTGGATTGTCAGCATCATTACTCCAGTCTTCAGTGTCACATGATCCTTCAGAAATCACTCTAATATGATGATTTGCTGCTCAAGACACATTTCTGATTATTGTCAATATTGAAAACAGTTGTGCTGCTGCATATTCTATTCATAAATCTATTACAAATGGCTTTACTGTCATGGTTGTTTAATTTAATGTAACAACCCTTGCTGTATAAAAGCATTAATAAAAAAAAATATCGAACCCTGCACTTTTGAATGGTAGTTTGTAAAGCGATAATTATGGTCTGAGCAATGTATAAAGAACACAATTTAAAAGGTCAATCAAACCAGATAAATGTCACAGATAAAGCTTACTGACTTTATTTCCACAGAGAAAGTGCAATCCTGCCATCTTGTGATCCTACGACACTGTTACAGTATAAAAGGATGTTAGTTATGGATTTGGACATAAAAAAAAACTATCCTCAAGTATTAAATACAATATACTGATGCACCGCACAGGTTAATGTAAATGTCATCTGTAGCTTCCTCCTTTTTAGAGATTTTATGGTTCTCAGATGAGCTTTAAAAGAAGTGAATCAGTTTCTCCTTTATGCCAAAGAGTTGTGTTTTACTCATTCCTGAAGAAACGCTGTTTCGGGGAGAATTTTGCTCTATTTCAGTCTATTAGTAGAACTGGCAGGATTACTAATACAACAACAAATATGTTAGCAATGCCTCACTGCCTATCATTATTTACTACATAAACACTTTGCTTCTTCACATAGTAGGTTTACTGTGCTTTAGCAATACTTCCTTTGGGTTGGTTCATAAACCGGTTTGGTGCTGCTATGTTGTGATAATCTCTTATATTTCAGTAAATATAGGCCTGGTTTCACTAACAGGGCTTAAATTGAGCCAGGATTAGGCCTTAGTTCAATTAGGACATTTAAGTAGATTTAATAAGCATGCCTTAAAAAAAAACATTACTGCTGTGTATCTTGTCTCAGTTACGACAGCTCAAACATGCATTTTAGTCTTGGACTAGACTTAATGCTTCGTCTGTGAAACTGGGGGATTGTCCTTCACGACCCAACTTCAGTTTGAGCGGCTCAGTGGATGATATTTTCTCAGTCTTCGAGCGCCACCTGGTGGAAAACATAACTAATCTGCCCAGAATATATATTTTTTCACAATCTGTCATCACTTGCGGTTTTGAAAAGTAATAATACTCTAACGTTTACACAAAGAGAATTTTAAACTGCTAAGCATTTTTTAGCTATTTGTATAACCTGACATGGTACATTTCTATAGGTGTTGTCATCATCTTTCCACCACTAAAGGACGATTAAGACAACTATACAGTAAAAAATAAATTTACTTTTTTCAACTTTCAAGAAGAAATAAGGGCTAAATATGCAGTTAGGTTCAGTTGACAAGGCAGATCTCATTACAACAGAATGCTACATCACATGCCTTTATAGACTCACAATGAAGGGATCTGGGGATGTTTTGGGTTTGGGTCCTGTACGTCGTGTAGTTTTTGTAGTTCTCGTAGTGATTGTAGTTGTCATTTCAGGTCTTTGTAATGCATTTCCTAGATCTTTCTTGATTGTTGCCATCTGTTTCTAGTTTGTTAATTGGTTGCTAGTGAGCTTAAAGGCCTCTTAGGCCCTGTCCACACGGACACAGGTATTTTTATAACCGTGACTTTTTTTACACGGTTCGGCCGTTCGTCCAAACGGAAACGCAGTAACAGGTCACTGAAACCGAACATTTTTGAAAACCCCTGCCAGGGTGAGGATTTTCAGAAACGCCGGTTACAGTGTTGTCGTGTAGAAAGTGAAACCGGGGTTTTTGTCTTGCGACGTCAGAGTGTGCGCCGTTATCTGCTGTGTTTGAGATTTGCGCCTACCGGAACCGGTAATAACTTTTTGTTAGGCTTCTGATTGGCCAACGTGGCTTTACGGTTAAGGGTTATATCGCCGCCTGCTGGTGTGGCATACTCTTGACCGCGCTTGAGAGCGTGTTTTTGCGTTTTCATGTTGATGGTGAACGAGCATGTGTGGACGGGATTTTTTTAATAAAAATACCCGTGTCCGTGTGGACAAGGCCTTATTCTCCTATTTGTGTGTATGTTGGAGAGGAAAGGATCCTGTTAGGCTCTAGTTCTACTTGTAAACACTTCTACTGGTCAGGACACAAAGATTGAGGAGACTGGCGCTTCTTGTGTACATATTCACAGATGACTCTTATCAGGAGTCAAGACGGGATTCAGTTGCAGGCTCAAACAAAAGTTTATTGACTGAATAACAGGCCAAAAATTGTAATAGAAAAACAAAACAAAAAAATTAAACACACAAGCAATCCAGCAAAAAGCAAAAGGCAAACTGATTTGAAAAACAGAAAAACAAACAGGAAAAATAAACGGCACCGGAGCCTCGAAACAGGACTGAACAAGACACGACTGTAGAATTATCAACTGGCTGGGTCGAAGTGTAGCAGGAAGCGAACACAACGATCTGGCACAAGACAGACGACACGGGGATAATAAATAGGGAAATAAACAAGGAAGGTAATCAATAACAGGTGCGGGGCTGAGCAGTGACGATGATTGAGAGGGTGGTAATTAATAACAGGTGCGGGGACAGAGCATTGACGAACGAGAAGGTGGGGAAACAAATCAACCACAATGACAGCGGAGCACACGGCGAACTGTCAAAACAAAGCCATGTGCTCCGAGACAACAACCACGCAGACAAAGCACATAAAGAAAACAGGCGAATCAGACCGGAGACATGACAGACTCAGTCACTTCTTAATTCAGAATACTAACATTCAGTATCACCTTTAAATAACAGTTAAAGCTCTAAATACCCAGAGGAAAGGCTTTGAGTTAAGAATAGCTTCCACCTCTAGAAGGACTGTCAGCACGACTTTTTCAGAAACTGATTGAGCTCCCACTGTAGTAGAAAGGGCTGACTTTACAAACCTCTCTCTCCCACACTCCTCCGAAATGTGGGGGTGCTGGAGGATTGAAGTAAAATTGGAACTTTTTCTGTAAGTCAGGAGTCATTTCAGCAAAGGCTTCTCTGAGCTCTCTTTCACCATTGTACTGAGGAGGTCCAAGTGCACCGCTCTAGTTGTTAGACACTTAAAGATTATCCCCCAGCATTTCTCTGTGCATTTCCCAATTGTAATCAGCATTGGGCCAAAGCAGTCTACTCCTCATGAGTAAAAAGCAGGTTTGTGGAGACGGGCAGAAGGCAAGTCTGGCATTTTTGGAACAGTTGGCTGTGCCCTCCAATGCTGACACCCTTGACGCCCATATTGGTGGCGACAAATGGCTTTACGGCCACAGATGATCCAATAATAATGCTGCATTTTGGCAAACACCACTCAGGTCCTGGATGATGCAGCTTGCAATCATAATGCTTAATTAATAGCCAGGAGACTGGAATATGAGCGTCCAATACAATGGGTGTAAGGTAGATTCTTCAATGGACTCTTTAATAATCTTCTGCATCAGGAACAGAATCAGAAGATGTGCCTGAATTTACTTAGCAGTGGCATCCAGGAGTTCCTGCCATGTATTGAAGTTCCAGATATCAGGGATGATTGATTGGCAATTAATTGGCGATTACCAATCAATGCATTGATTGGCAATGTATAGTTCCAATGTATTGATTGGCAATGAAGTGGCGCCGCAGAAGGTAGACTAACGTTGTTCTGTGTGGTCATCTGTCAGGTCTGTTCTTGGCATTACTGGCCAGGTATCTGGATCCTGGAGTAAGAAGGGAGAACCTTGAGACCATCTGTTCATCTATGTAAGGACATGCATAGGTTTGCCTCTAGTGAAGTCGTGTGCAGGATTGCTTGCTGAATCCAAATAGTGCCAGGAACATTTATCTGTTAGCTCCTGGATTTCGGTGATTCTGTTGCCAACAAAGACTTTGTAGTGGCCAGGTAAGAACCGTGGAAGAGTCTGTCCACAACATTGTGGTCTCTATTTGCAAGGTCAGTTACCTTCTTGCGCAATCTACCTAACTGAGCGGCCACAAGAGCTCCACAAAGCTCCAATCTTGGAATGGAATGAGAACATTTGGGGGCAACTTGGGATCGAGCC